ACCACCAGCTCCTTGAATTATATGTTCTCACTTTGTAAGAATTAGATCTAAGTAAAATTCCATAAAAAGTGTATATATTGGTTACTTTTCTTAGTTGTAATATAAATTAAAAAATCTATATTAAGCACTTTATTTATTATGGTAGACCATGATAATTAATATTTTTTTAAATATTGCTAAATATTTTTTAATTCAATGTATTGAATTATTACATTATTAATTATGATATTTTGAAAAATAAATCAAGACTAAAATTGGAAATAAATATTCATGTCGTATTGCTAACAAAATTTAACCTTAATTAATAGGTATTCGAGTACAATTTTTCAAATAAATTATTAGAAATAATTTTCTGTGCTTAATACAAATGTATGTCAATTACTGTCTATTTTATTATAAAATTACTAAATATAGTAAAATCTCAATTAAATCAAACTCAATATAACTAAATATTTCAAAATCGTTTTTATTTTACAAAATATTTCTATTTAATGAATTAATTTTGTATTAATTTTTTACAAAAAATTTAAAAAATATTGTATTATTGCATATTTACAAGGTTCACATTTGTCAATCAGACATACTGTGAGAATATACATGGCCAAGATTGCAAAGCGCAATCATACCTTGTTAAATTGTACTACCTTAGATTTAATAAAACTATAATTTAAATGTATTTATTTTATTTAAGTTAAATAATATATATCTTTTGTGTACATTACACAAAAAAAGTATTTTAAAATGAAAACAATATTATTTTTAGCAAAATTTCTATTTAACAAATTTTTTCAAGAATCTTCAAGTTTGTTAAATAAAGATTCCACAGTAATATAATGAATGTAGATTTGTTTCAATGGTAAATTGTCAATTATTTAGTTAATTATTAAAATTAAACTATTATAAATTTTTATGTATAGGATAATTTTGTATTTAAAATATTTTTCTAATTCCTTAAATACTTTTTATAATTTAGGGATGGAACTTAAAATATTAATTTTAACAACTATTTATCATTAGCATATTTAACATTGACTTAATTGTTATCTACAATTTACTTTTGATCTTTTACATATTAGGTCAATTTTTGTCATTTTTAACAAGCAATTGATTACGCTAAGTCTACTAGATGCTACAAAAGAAAAAAGAAAATAAATAATAAGTTTTTACTTTGGCTTATTTGTGGTGTTTCTAGATAACAAATCAAAAGATATTTTAAATTACATAAGTAAGCAAGTTATACCTAATGCAATCACTCATTCAATAATTCAAGGATAAATTGGCCTATAGTGATGTAAACTGTAAAATTTAATTTTCTTTTAATTAATGACTAAATTTATTTACATCACAATTGGTGATAGTATCTAAATGTTTTGTATACTAAAATTATGTTAATATTTTGTAGATCCTTGGTTTTAGTAAAGTTGTTTTTACATTTTTATTCTTAAGTGTTCTATCTAAAAGTTAGGTACTATAAAATATTACCATTAAGTACAATTTTACAAACTATAAATATATTATTGTAAATAGTATAAAATTCAATTTTTGTAATATGTACAAAGGGATTTATAAAGTATGCTCCCTTCATTTTTTTTTATTTAATACCTAGTAAATTTAATAAAATTTTTATACATGATAGTAGAGTCTTGCTGATCAGACTATATGGGCCTGGACTCCACCCGAATTAAACGGAATGACATTTTTCAACTTACTAATAAATATTTTTTGTAGAGGTACTTACGATTGTACTATAAATATATATATAGTATACACCATATGTTGAACCTAAGAATATATATATCAATTAATATACATCTTGTAGATAACAATTAACATTGATACAAATCATTTTTTTATAATATTTATGTGTATGTATTTATACATAAGTATTAAAGTATAAAATATAAATTATTCGAAATATCCGGATATCCAGACTAGTGCTAACTGGATCAACAAGACTACTGTACTTAAAGACCATATTTTTAAATTAATGAGATTTTTTTGTATTACTTAAAGAATGCTATGTACAAACTTCAGTTTTTGAGATGAAAACTGCATTTTTAAATAAATAATTTTCTGAAAATATTGATGTACCTATATCACTTTAAAATTTTAACAATCAATTTTCCTGTCATTAAAATGGTTTTATTCAGGAAAATAGTCTTTAAAAGTGATTTGTCTAAATAACTTAAATATACTTGTTTTAATTTTTAAATAAACTATTGTCTAAAAAGGTAGTTTATGGTAGATAAGAGGAAATAGGAATTTGTATCTCACTACACGACATTCATGAGTAGTACAAAAAAATCTCAAGAATTTAAAAATATTGTGGTCTTCAGGTAGATAAATTAGAAAATTCAAAATTCAGATTTGAAATAACTAAATTTTTGAAGAAAAAAAAGGAGTGAGCATGTTTGGTGAATCACCTCAATAGTGATATTATTATAATATATTGATATAATTATATATGTATAAATGTATAATTGCACATTTATATTGTATAATATTGAAGTGATACAAATATTTTACAAAATACCAAACCAGGTAGAAACCTGTAAGTAACCCCATACCTAAATAAAAATATTGCCAAAAAGGTAATCAATTATATCCAAAAAGAGCCATAAGAAACACAAAATGTTAAATAATAAGTGTAAATCTATACATGACAATATTAAAATACATATTGATTTAAAAAATAAATGGAGTCGGTACTACTACTGTTACTTAAAACAAATTAAGTAATAAATTGACAAAGTTAATAAGCTATTGTAGTATTTGTACTAATGCGGTCAGTGAAATGTGAATTCTATAGACTGTACTGACAATAGTATTTAAAATTAAAATAGTAAATTAGTAAACATACAATGTTTTGGTCATTGACTGACGAGCGGATCACTGCAGCTAGTTCCAAGTTACGTACGCGCATGCGCACGCGCACCAATTCCTATTATCAACATATCTTATCAATAACTGATGAGCACTTCGAAATTTTACAACTGTCAAATGCACAATCCGATATTATTTCAATAATTATTTACAATTTATAAATAATATTATTACAGTTTTACAATAATATGTCTCAATATTATTTATTAATTATTATCATTAATTAGTTAATAAGGTAGTCGTCAATAGTTAATCTGGTCATACTAATATAAAATAATATTAATATAAAATATTATTGTAACATTATTTATAATTTATTATACTTGTATAATAGATCTTCAAATTAAAAAAAACCACTGGAAAAATGTATAATGAATCAAAAATAAGTTTGAGAGTTGCTATTGATAAAGCTTTACCTCATAATAATATATTAACTAAGGTGTTATAGTTAAATGTTAATTCATAGGCATTTCAACATTAATAATGTCTTTTCTATTTATCATATAGGTATCATTATTTATTATTATTATAGTACTGTATAATAATGTGAAAATTACAAAATAATCTAGCATAATGTATAATATTTATGAAATTATTAAAAAAAACATAACACAGCAAAGATAATTTTTTCAGAATGTACAGACTTCTATTTATAAAATATTAAATTATAACAAAACTTCCAGCTATCAGTAGCTAATAAAAAATAATAGAATAAAGATAAAGTTCAACTTGTTTTATGGATAATCTAATATTTTCATATATGAAAGATATTAGATTATTAGATTAAATTACACAAAATCCAAATATAATATCATCCATATAGTTTGTTTTGCAGTTGTGTGTACAATAGTGTTTCTTACAGTTTCAAATATTATATAAAAATGTCAGAAATAAACTTAAATAAACGAAAACGAAACGATGAAAAGGAGAAATGCTCTTTGTGCGATAGTATGTTTAGTAATATAGGTAATAGGAATAAACATATGCAAAAAGCCCATGGTGTGGATAATAGAAATAATGTCCGTTTGGTGAAATGTCCTTTATGCGAAGCAGACTTTAAAACTCTCACAAATGTATGTGAACACATTTCCAACGAACATAATGTACAATTAATAAAAGAAACTACAGCGTTTGACTCTCTCCATGGTATTTAAATTAATTTTGTAACTTATTAGTAATTACTATATATAATACAAAAAGGGATTTTTAAATTTTAGTACAATGAATAGTGAAGGGCAATCTAACGAAGTAATACACACCGACTTTGATCATGTTTATTATGACACCTCTTCGAAACCACAATAACGAGTAGTAGATTTATTAAATGTTTTATTTGTATTGCATTCTGTAAACATTTGTGATTTTGTGAGTTTTTTATTAGATTAACTATTGACGATTAACGATTTATATTATTACCTGTAGTACCTATATATTATTAGTATGACCAGATTAACTATTGACGACTACCTTATTAACTAATTAATGATAATAATTAATAAATAATATTGAGACATATTATTGTAAAACTGTAATAATATTATTTATAAATTGTAAATAATTATTGAAATAATATCGGATTGTGCATTTGACAGTTGTAAAATTTCGAAGTGCTTATCAGTTATTGATAAGATATGTTGATAATAGGAATTGGTGCGCGTGCGCATGCGCGTACGTAACTTGGAACTAGCTGCAGTGATCCGCTCGTATTGACTGCGGTTTGCAACGCTATCAATTATTATTTATTATCAGTGTTTTCTTTAAACATTGATAAGATTAACGATTTTTTTGTAGATGTACAATGTACAAGAACGCGATACGAATTTGGTATGAAGAGTGAGGACAAAAGTCAGTACTCAATCGCTATGAATTCTCATTTATTCTGTCTTCCTATTTTGTACAACAAAACATTTTAAAACGTGATTCTATGAATAATAAAATATTCCCAAAAATAAATATATTGAAACAAAAAAAAAAGACTAAACATAGACTCTTAAGAAATCTCATCTAGTCATGTATTTAACACAAATGGAATAAAATTTATATTGTATAATATTTTAAATCTCGATAATTTGATGACACCAATTGTTAACATAAGCTAGTCGGATTACTGAAACAGTATGGCAAGTAATTACAATCAAGATGGGCAAATACCGATTCCACCTCGCAGAACACGCTCGATTACTTCAGATAAAGTAATGATGGTCTAAGTTCATATGTTAGGTGTGCTATGGGAATTATTTCTCCATTGTTTAACATGTAAACATTTTGAAGGTACCCTATGTAGTTGATGTGGTGGCTGAGAGATGTATTGTGCCGGCTATGGAAAAAATGTCAAGAAGAGAGCCTAATATGGGAGAAAGTATATCACCTTTAGACCGCTTGAGGAATAGTATGGATGAAGTTTAATTGTTGTAGTTTTAAACATTTATTTATCTACTTGTCTTAAAAATTACAGATGTAGACATGTCAGAAAATGTTGCTAGAATGGCATCACATCTCAAACAGTTGGAGAAAAAAAGGGATGAATTACAAAGACAATGTACTGCCATTGAGTCTATGAACAAGCAAAGTGAAATAAATAGATTAATCGATAAAAATAAAGAACTGAAACAAGATGTTTTTGTATTAAAAAATCTAACTTATAGGTATGATAAAAAATCATTATTTTAACTTGTAAACAAATATTAAAGATAATTTTATTTTGAAGGTTGAATAGAGAATTGGAAAAATGTCAAGATAAACTATTATCAAAAGATCAGTTTCCTGAATCTGCGGGTTACATGCGAGTACAAGGTATAGTGTTATCATATTAATAATCAGGGCACATTATAATATTTATAATTTTGGATATTTTAATTAAAATCTGATAACTTTAGATGAATATTTTTTCAAAACTTTTAAAACTAATTTTAATTATTATGTATACATTATAATTTAATAATAGTAATTGTTACCTACTATAAAGAATAATTTTAGTTAATAGTTTCTATTTAAATATATTGTTCAAAGTCAATTCATGTAGTATGATGAAACTAGAATCTTGATAGGCATTAGATAGAGTAACATTTGTATTTAATCATTTAAAATAGAGAATTTTGTTATTGTAATAACATTTTATTATACTAATTAGTAATATAATTAGGTGAATTGTTAGCAGTTAAAATTAAAAAAGGTATTGATTTTCTAAAACATTTTAAGCATTAAATTATTTCAGATGGTTTTCAAAGATGATATTAAAGATTTCCCCTATTTCATAAAGAATTTGTTTTAGATAGTTTTTTGGTAGAATGAAATTAATTTAGAAATTAGAAAAATGTTTATTATTATTATTTTAAAATGAATTGTTTTACTGATCTAGTAGTTTATGTCTGTTCACTTCCAATTTGATCAAATTATCTAAATTAATTTTTTTTATAAAATACCAAGTTTAACTTGGGTGCCACCGCAGAGCCACTTCCTCACTAATGCTTATAATTCCTTCTCTTATTAGATTTACTTATAATGTACATTATATATTTTGACACATAATAATTTTTCGTATTTTTAATAAATAAAATACTTAGAGTATATAATACATAATAACAACAATTTAGTTATATAATATATTAAAATCTAATATCAAATTTACTTAGCCATTTTATTTTAAAAATAATTATTAATTTTCTGTATTAAATAACTACTAAAACTAGGTGCCACATTCGTTTTTATTTTAGATGACCTCTGTACTGCTTATCCACTTTCTTAAAGTTGGATAGGTATTCACTTACTATTTTTACAATAAATTATTGTTGCTAACTATTTATTATGTAAAAAATATTTTTTTATTGATGTTTAGATCCAAAAAATATTAACTGGCGTAGGGAAGATATTAATGCAGTATCACCATTGTTAGAAGCATACCAAACATCTTTAGAAGAGAAAGATGTTACTATTGAAAGTTATAAAAATGAACTTGCTCGATTTTCTTCTAGAAGTAGAGAAATTGCCGCTGAAAATGAAAATCTTTATCAGCAGCTTGAAGAAGCAAATGAAAAAGTACTAATGAAATTAATTAATGTTAATATATATAGTTCATCATTTTTATTTTAACTTAAAGATTGAGGTTACATATGGAGAATGGAAATCATTGGAGTCTGAAGTAGCTATGTTAAAAGAACATAATGAGTTATTGGTCAGGCAAGCCAAATTACATCAAGCAAAGTTACAAGATTTACTTCGTTCATATCAATCGAGAGGTAAAATTAGTTTTTAGTGCTTTCATTTTTAAATCATATATACTAACTTTTGTTAGTTTTACTTAGTAATTTAATTATTTTGCATTTTAAACCAATGGAAAGGAGGACTTAAGTAATCTAACTAATTTATGTAGGTTTTTTATACTAACTAAATTAACATAGTGTATCATATAAAATCATAGTAAAATTCATTTTATTTATACTGTTAAATTAATTACAACAAATATATGCTTACTATTTTAAAAACATATTTGATTAAAGTTTAATATATAGTAATAATAACATTACGTATATATTATACTAACTACATTAAAATAGTAAATTGTATAAAATCATTATAAAATTAATTTTATTTATATCGTTAAATGAATCATAACAAATATGAGCTTATTATTAAACAAACTTATTTGATTAAAGTTTAATTTATAACAGTAATGATAATATAAATAATTATAAAGTTAAAGTCTTATAAAATCTAAAATCATAGTACATAATATACTTGTACAGGTACTATTATTTAATTTATAGTTATAAAATAATTTATTGTTTATTTTAGTTTTTTCTCTGTTTTGCCTTTTGGTTTTGAACAATTACTAGTACTACTGTGTGTTCCAGATCTTTTTTTTGGAACCGGCAATAGTTCGTTCATAAGATTAATTATTGATTTATAAACATTATTTAATGAATCTGTTTTTTCAAATAATTTATGTGATACAAATATTTCTGGTTCAGAATTTTCCATTTGTACACATAAATTATACAAAAATGATCCTTTATAAAAATTTTCAATTCGACACTGATCAAATGGGAAATCCAGTAATGAGTTGAGTATCATAAAAAAATAAACACAACTTTGAAATTGTGCAAATGGATGAATAATTTTATAATATAAATATTTGTTACTATATTGACCAATTTGAAAATAATTTGATAACACACTCATAGCTTTAATACAATCTTCTTTATTTACTTTAGCGATATTTTCACTTATAACACTATTGTCAGTAATATCTTCAGTTTTTTTATTTTTTGGATCAATTTCAATTTTTTTGATGACATTTAATGTTATTGCACATACGATTAAAGCATGCATGAGTTTGGATTTAATATTATTGCTATGTACTGCCCAATAAATTAAAATCAAGAAAAATAATTCCCATTCTTTTGGAACACCATCAATTACTTTTATACCAACTAAATTTAAAATTATATTTTTGCGGTATTTCAATTCACTCTTATTTAAATCAGCTAATGGTACATAAGGGTTAGTTATATATCGTTTTATTTTGAATTGACCTATATTAAGTCCATTTTTTCTTCCTAAACTGGGAATTGAATCACCTTTTCCAAATAATAACCCAATTATTTTTTCAACAATTTTAAAGGATATTTCATAATAAGGATATTTTTCATAATCTTCAATTTGTACTTTAAAAAATACTTTTTTTAATGTTATAATTGTCATAACTTCAGCATTTATAGTACCCTTACGATAATTGTATTCTAACCAAGGAGGTAGTATACTTTTTTCATTTGATGTTAAATGTCTTAATTGATCTTGATATGTGCTCATTTTTTTGTATTGAAGAATAAATGATAGATACTTGCTATTTTTATTTTTATAGTCTTTTATAATGTTATTTATTTGATTTTCAATGTAATCTCTATTACGAGATAAGTTATAAGTCATATTTACTATAGCTGATCTTATATTCTGTTGTTTTCTAAGCCATTCTGTGATTCGTTTAAGTTTTAATCCACAGTTGAAACATCCTTGGTTTAATCGTAAAAGTGAACAAAATGTGTCTTGCCTTATGTAATCATTACCTAATAATGCAGCCACTAAAGGTAAATAGTCAATATTTAATCCGCCAAACTCATTCAGTAATTTTTCAACTCTATATACTTGACAATTTATCACTTTTACATTAGGATCTAAATCAAGGATAATCTTGTCCAATGGTATATATGGTACTGTATTTATATAAAAATCAGAGTCCCGGCTTATAACAGGACAATTTAATAATTTGGCCAATGCAACAATCTCTGCATCAGCTTCAAAATCACAATTAACATGTGGTATATCCATATCATTAAGAATATCAAATATGACATCACTACCAAACATAGGCATGCATTCAGCAGACTTAATAGGTTGGCTGTATGATTTTATTCTTTGGCTCATTCGACTCATGATTGTTTCCATTTTACGTTGTTCGTATGCACCATCAAACACAAAAATTGGTATTACATTGCATCTTGTTAACAAGTTAATAAAATCTATATATACCTTTGCTATAATGTCATAATCTCCGCCAAAAGCACTAGTTTGATTTTCATATGATCTATATAGAAAATTTGTTAAAGCATAACCATCTATTATAATCAAAGTGTCTTTGAGTTGTACATTTTCAAAATATTGCGTTGAATTACGATTTATAAACGATGTCAGACCTGGAATACCCATGTTAAGAAAGAAATAGGATCAATAAAGATTTTAAATAGGTATAATTTAAAATGAACAACAGTGAACTGTAAAATATAAATTCATAATAATAATAATGAAGAAACAATAACCGTCAACCGGACACTGATACACCAAACACAGAATGATAAATATAATAAATTTTATATTATTGACTTATCTGATAACAGTTGTAACATCATATCAGCACTCCGCTGCATTTGATACTAACATCTTGATGATCTTAGGTCCTTTGAAAAAATAAAAGCCAACTAACTACCTTAGAAATCAATGGGAGCAACACGATTGCGAACGAATGTCGCTTATCAAAGAATTTGTTTTATAGCCGAAAAACAAACAATTGTGTACGTTTTTATAGGCTATGTTGCTTAGTTTATAATATTTTGTTCGGGAATTCATTTAAATATATTTTTTTTTTTTTTAAATAAAAACTATTCGATGTTATTAATACAATATTAGTCTATAGGCATAGGGTGGTCAATTTTTTTTTTTGGTGGGGGAGGCTGTAGCCCTCCTAGAGGTAGACGTGCACTGACTCGTGGAGGGCTATTTTTCGAACTGGGGGACTAAGCCCCCTAACTACGCCTATATTGTATGTTACAAACTAAAATAAAATTTTAAAAAATAATACGTTATATTTAAAATATTGGTTAATTAAAACAATTTTCGAGGTATAAATATTAATGATACTGTTACATAATGGATAATAGGTATGTTAGAAACTGAAAAAAATACGATACCATATGAATCGACCCGGTTTTCCATTAAATGAATATAGATATAGTATTATAGGTAAATATGTTAGAAATTATAACCAACCTATTTTACATTGTATCTAGTATCTACTATCTACCTATTCTATATTCTTATCGCCCGGCGTAAAAGCAGAAATCCTTAAAGATTTGAATATTTTAAAAATTTGTAATTGATTAATAGGTACTAAATCTGGCAACACCACACGATTAAAGATAGGTAAAAACGTTCGCAATCGAATATCACCCAGATTAATATATTAGTCTATATGTTTTTTTTGAAGAAAAATGTAGCCTTATCTAAAATACTGCATACTATTTTTTTGGTATGTATTAAAAACTATAAAAAATAATAATTTATTTTCAATTGATATTTAAGAGATAAATTAAATTTTTCCTTTTTAAACATTAACCTGACAGTAATTGTTATAGAGGTATAATTAAAAATAAAAACCGAGCAAATCGTTTTGCTATATATATGTTGTTAAATGTATATAATTGAGTAAGTCACTGCAATGGATGCATTTCATTTGAATTCTGTGATACATACCTAAATTCTTGTGTATAAAAAAAGGAAACTATCAGACTTGTACATTTTCCAAAGATATTTTATTATTTATACTCGAGTATAATATGTGTATAATAATATGTTATTATCAAAACAAAAACAGTTCGTCAAAGTTTTTGTAAAAATGGGTATGTTAAAAAATAAATAAATCATAAGATTTATAACACTATAAAAAAGTAATATCATGAATGCTAAGTAAATTAAACTAAAATACACTTATTTTATATCAGCTATGTATTTACTTGAAGAATTGTTTACTTTATACGACACAAAATAATTAAAATACATTAATCCTTTAGAATATTCAGTGTCGTCAAAATGTAAACTTTTATTGCTCACAAGAAATTATATAAGTGATGAAATTAAATGAAAAATTTTGCAGTATGGTATAGGTAAACAGGTATTGAGAGGAGGTATTTAAATTGTAAAATGAAGTGATAATGGTTATGTTAAAATTAAAGAAATAAAATAATTTGTATAGTTAATTAGCGAGTTTCACGAGCCATTAGTATACGAGTTAAAATAGTTAAATAATATGTCAATATGTTTATAATGTACAATAAAGTATAAGTATGATAATACTACTTTTATGTTACCTTGATGACGTCGGCATGTGGTATTGATTATGTAAATCATGTAAAGACTAGTTGAATTTATTACTTATTATTGAAGTATTTGTTATTGGATTGCAAAGTATAATTGGTTAATATATTTTACATAAATTGAAAATAACGATATAACCAGTAATACAGAATAAATGAATACTAACCACTAATAAGGCAATAATTGGTGGTTTCCTTCTAACAAAATAGTATGCGTTTTACTAACAAGTATTGAAATATAATTTTTGAATGGTAATGATAGATTGAAGAATTATATTGAAACTGTGACTGTGTATAATGTGTAAAATTAAGACCTAGTATGACTGTAAAGGAATCGTGTGGAATTATATTGTCTGTGAATTTTGTGAAATGTATTATTTGTGTAACCCTTTTTATTTTTTAAAAACTTTGTAAATTTTACTATTCATTTTTATGATTTTTTTTTAGTCAATGAACTGTTGTGAATTAATCTTAAATGTCAGAGATTTTATTATTTTATAGTTAGCGTATCAATTTATGGATAAAGATTAATTTATGTTGGTATTTTATATATAATTTGATATTTGTCATATAGCTATTCAATATAATTTACTGATTGTTACTATTTATAGTTAAAGATTAATTGCTGTGATTGTTCAATTAGAAACCGTGTTAAACTATTCTATTTTTATATATTTTTAAATGTTTTCAGTTAAAATATTTCATGTGATTTGGTTAAACTTTTTTATTTCCAGTAAAAAGAAGGATATGAGGAATTATGAATTTACTATTTAAACAACCTCGTAAGATGTTAAAATTAAAAATTTTATGCATTTTTAAATGCAAAGTTTTTTTTTTTTTTTTTTATTAGAAAAAATACAATCTATACCCAAAGGCATAATAAGTATATGTGCTACATTACATTATATTAAAAACATGAATAGGGTGAGGGAAGAAACCATACAGTGATCGCACTTCCTTTTGGTTAAATATATGTGTAACTATATATTTTTTTAAATTATTATTAACATTTTTTTTTTTTTCATTATTCATTAAGAAGATCTCTGCACCAGTTTCTTTTTAATCGTCATGGAGGGTTTCCAGGAATTTTGTGAGTGGCTAGGCCGGATATCAGAGGATTTGAGAGAGCAGACAGTTTGTTGAAAAAACGTTTGTAATGCATTTTAGCTTCTTTTCGTGTATGGTTTTCATTTTTAGGTCAGAGTGGAGAGTATAATTAGAGATATAGGGGGGGGGGGAAATGCAAAGTAATTATCAAATTTTTTCAGTCTTGTAAATATTAGAGTATTAAAAGCTTATAAAAAATTGTGATGTATTTTCGATATTTTTAGTTGAAATCTATGTAACTTATGAAGCATTTTTATTAAATTTTTAAGTCTTTTTAATTAAAATCAAAAATTGTATTTTTATATAAATTAAAAATGTCAATAGGTATCTTTAATATGGCATGTTTAAAAATCAAAATAACTTGGAAATGTTATTATTTTTAGGAAATGATAATATAAATATTTGATAATTTGATGAATATTTATTGTAGGTCACTCATTTTTTTTTTTTGAGTTATGAAAAAAAAAAAAATAAATAAATAAATAATAACTGAAGTAAAAATAAAATTTTCCCTGATATTGTTTTTGTTTTTCTGAATATTTTGAAAGTTCTGTAAATTTTGAATATATTCATGTATTATAGGTATGATATTTTTTAGTTAGTAAAATTATTCAAGTTTAGTAATTTCTTAAATACTTGTGTAATCGCTGTAATTAATAAGGAAAATATTTGGAGTTTTCTACTTTTGATTAAAAATATAATATAACATAATAAACTTTATCACCAGTAACCACTTTAAAATTTGAAGATTGATTCATATCTCCTGAATGTAATAAAAACATACATAAATAATTCAATTTATTATTATTTTAAAATTATTCGCTCTGTTCAAATTATAAAATTTGAAGTATAATACGTTGCGACACTGTATTTAACTATTATCTGTTAGTATTAGTTATAATTACTATAACGTTTGACTTTAAACAGAAGTGTTTTTTTTGTTCCACTCGTACAAATAATATTTGAAATTCGTTATTATTTTCTAAGGATGTTCTAAAATTTTATATTTTAGTTACTGAGTTGAATGGTGAACGAGACTATCTAGCTGAAAAGTATGAAAATGCCCGAATAGAGCTTCTTCATTTGCAAGGTCGTGTGTCATCGTTAGCTGGAGACTTAAATCGTATGAAAACCGAAGATGATAATAAAATTCCAATTGCTGTACACACGTCTGCTGTGAACGAGTGTCGAAGGTATTATATGATTTTTATATTATTATCGTGCTTACGTAAACATTATTTTTATAGTAATGTTTATATCTATATTGTATTTATACTATCAAAATAAATTTATATCGATTGTTTGATTTGACTTAGTTTTAACTTTACTACTAATAATTAAAATATGAATTAATATTTACTAAGTGTTTTTATGTAAGTTATAAATTTATAAATATGACATTCCTTAACTCTTGCAGACTTTTTGAAGAACTTAAGTGTCGGTATGATGACGAACGCGATACGCTGATGCGAAGGTTGATAACGTTTGAAGAGGAAAGGCCAACACTCGACATCAAAATCGTTACTTTGACCACGGAATTAAATCAACAGCGGTCTATTAACAAAGCTTTGGATTTACAATGCTCGTAAGATGCGATTTATAATTATGTGTTTATTTTAAATGAATTATATTTATCAGATATCTATATCATAACGGTGCAATAACATCGATGTCGATGTTATGGTTGAGGATAGTATGCATATAACTACAGGACCTTAGTAAATCATTTTAAAGGAACTAAATATATGTATTATGTGCGAATTTAATTTAAAATTATCGTACATGAACAGAGTAACATGAAAGAGAGTAATGTGAATTGTTAGCATCCTATTTTTAAATGTCTGTACCCTGTTCAAAGTTTAAAAATGGTTTTTGAAGGTATTCGTATTTCTATATATACTAATATGTACAGAATATGGTCATTTAATATTATTTGTGTTGCAAATGTATAATTAAAAAAAACATGGTATAAGAACATGAATTTGAATGCTGAAAAATTTACGCCATGTATGTTGGAGGCGATTAGTTCTCTTAATACTCAATAAATACTCGCCCCGGGGGTCATTTGGCTTTTAATATTTGATGTAGTTACGGTTTATGAGCATAAACTGCGTATTCCTATGATTTGCATAAGTAAACGATTGTTTACTGATGCGTTTTTCTTAGTTTATATAAAATACGTATATATAGATATATATGTATATCTACCTATATCTAATATTGATCGATTAGGAAAAAATTCCGCTTAATCATTTTTCGAGTAATTTCAAGTTTTTAAAAATAGTTCATATTGTAGAGCCTCGATAGTTCGGACCTCCGATAATCTAGTGAACGCAGTAATTCAGATGGCATAAATTCTTTTGTTCATAAATACATTTATAGTTTGTTCGGAATTAAAAGTATTATTCAGAAAAAATGACTGATTACTTATTATACTTAAGTTCTATTATAATAATTTTTTTTTTTTTTGTTAATTCATTATGTTAAAGTTATTTACTATTTTTGTAATTTAAAGTGCAATAAATATAAAAGTACTGGCACTAAAAATAAAAATTTAAGTTTGAGTAGGTAATTTTGAAAACCCTCCGATAATCTGGACGATGCTCGGTCTGAATTCGTCTGGACTATCAAGGATCTACTGTACCTATTTATTATTATATATAAATATCACGTCTATGTCAAGGAAACAGAAAGAAATTTAAATGGATTTTTAAGCTCAGCAGATATTTTATCACGAAATATTTATACATAATATAGCTATTGGGTATTTTATGACTTAGATTCTGTTTATTTATACTATAATATACTATTACAACAGCAGGATCGAACAAACATGGGTGTAAAAGGAGCTTTTGCTCCAGAGTGGTGTTTTTCAGGTATTCATATAGTGTTATAGGTACTTAAAATGCATGTTGTTTTTGTAGCTTCTTGCTTCTATGTTGATAAGAATTACAAAATATAAATTACTCTGGGGCGGCTCTGATCCTTAATCTGTGTCTGTATAACTTGTATTATTATGTAGTATCTTTATGAATACACATTTTATTTATCTTTTGTAGACAGTTAAAAGCGAAATGTGACGCGTTGGAGAAACACCTGTTTGATTGCGAATCGGAGAAGAACACCAACAAGAAACAATTGGCAGATGCCATGGTGTTCCTGCGTGAAACCATAAACGAACAAGAGGCACTTTTGCGCCGTGCGGCCGGCGACAGTCGTAACGACGCTTCGGCCGCCGTGTTAAGCGCCTCCATAAGCGCCCGAGTGAAGGCCCTCACTGAACACCTAAAGGTATGTATGTGCCTCAACTATGTTTTATTCGCCATTCCAACATTAAAGGGATATCATTTGATTTATGTACGATATTTACCGTCATAAATAATAATATAGTATCTATATATATTATATATGATAGATACCAATAATGCGCAGGTAAATTTTCAACCAGGATCAATCTATGTCCTGTATACTTAGTTCATATAAATATATTACTCACTGTTTATTGCACGTTAGAACAATTATTTTTAATTGCATTTTGTGATTCAAATGTGCCTCCGGGCAGTATTTTACATTTTTACTCTATATTATATAAAACGACTTACAGTGGCGTTAATAGTACATACTAAAACTAAATAGATGATTGAGGCTTGTTGGCATTGATTAAAATTAGATTATGACAAATCAAAATATTTTTTTATCAATAATAAAATTACTGGTTATAAATAAATTATTACTAAATATATATATAAGTTTGTCTACCTATGTAGACATATGGTAGACAAACTTATGCTGGATACATATAGTAATAAAATTTACAGGTGTATGTAGAGCTTACCTAAACATTAAATCTCATAATAAATTTAGACATTTAAACCGTAAAAAATAAATTTTAATTTAGGAGTGACTGTACATTTTTTCTGAAAAATAATCGATAAACCGGTACTAATTTTAAACCATAAAATATGATATACGATTAGATGATAGTATATAGTCATGTATAAGTATAAGACAAACATGTATCTACTTTTTCAGAATATATTATTAAATAGTTTAAATAAATAAATTAATACATAATTCAATATAGACTTTTTATTTTGAGTAAATTAAAAAAATTATTTCTTTTGATGTTACCTACTTTAGTAATCTTTATTCTATTATCAATGCTGAACTTTGATTAATAAAATTGGTTATAAAAATATAAAATATATCAGTAGTTTCAATTAAATAGACTACAGAGAGTACAGACCATTTAATTTTGTCTTTATTTGCACGGTATATATCGTGACAAAGGTTTAGAAGAAATTATGAAGGTTTTTTTTTTTTTTTCATTGAACCTTTAATGGATTTAATGTTTAGCCCTTTTTTACCCACCATATTTATACATCAATGATGACGTATACATTATGATGTGTTATAGTGCGTCGAACAAGGTGCGCATCAAGAAGTGAACCGTTTGAGCAGCCGCCTGTACGAACAATCTGCCGAGCTGGAAAGAATGAAGAAGACGTACGAGAACGAAATTAACGCACTTAACAACGCCCTTCTACAGAAGCAAAGCGTTATAGATTCGATGGATGCGAATTTGGAGAGATAGCGATGGTGCCCATGCGCCGCTTGGTCTTCGTCGTGGTGCCGTAGTCTTAGTCAGTACATATTAAGAAGGGTATGAATAGAGGTTGTAATAATACGAGGAAAACCAAATAACAACTAAAATAATATCTATAATATTTACATACAAATATATGTATATATTTATAGCTTTATAAAGACTTTTAATCAAAAAAAAAAAAAAAAAATGTAACTTAATCCCAAAGAATTAAAGTGTGTTCGTATAAAATATGTATTTTAAGTATCATGTGTTATGTGTATAATTATTATCACTATAACTATTATTATTATTATTATTATTATTATTATTATTATTATAAAAATTTCGTTATGTAGTTGTAGGATTTAAAAAAAATACTTCAGAGAAGACGGATATGATAACAATTTGGTTATGCTATTTGTATTTATTATTATATGTACAACATATCTATATGATAATTAAAAGTATTTACATTAATCAAAATAAAAATAAAAATAGTAAATATAACTCATCATTATTATATAAATTTTTTCATTAAATTTTACGGGGTTATTTGACTAGGAAGAATAATGATGTCATATCGACATATCATAATGACGTTAATGTATACAGAGTCTATCACAGAGATCTGACAATTTTACAGAGAAAAATACATATGAATATCATGTCAGTTCCCCGATGTACACTCGACGTATAATGCTAGCCAGTATAATTAAGTCATCCGGCAGTAGATATAATATTTCGCGTTGTGGTATTATAATAATATGCATACTGAATGACCTAAAAAGAATATTCGGTACTTGCAACTATTGGGCGCGAGTATATATGATCGATCATTAGAGACAATATCAATGGTAACACGGCAAAATCGTCTAAGCTCTAAGCAACACCTAGAGATTGCGTGAAATTACTTAAACCAATGGATTGAGAAAAATGTGTTTTTATCAATGGCACGTGTGAAAATAGCTGCCTTTATTATTTGGAAAAAAATTTAAATTTTAAGTTTGTGATTTAAACAATACTTTATGTTTGTCTGTTTAAAAATTTGTTCCAAACAAAATATTGGTAACAAACAATGACAACAATTTTTTTTGGAGAGAGGATATGACAAGTAAAACAAATGGAGCGCAGAATTGTAATACAATTTTCACATTCATATATTATATATAGTTCGAATTAAAAATTATGTTGCTTTTTATGTCGTAGACGAAATAAAAACCGTGAAAATTATGATAATAATTTTTGTAATGTTTATAAATAAACATTGTATTGTTTATAAATATATTTATTTTTTTTTTTTCAAAAAATATTTTTATACATTGTATTTCGATAAACAAATAATGTAAAACAATATACATGTCATAAGTAATAACAATAACAATTTTAAAATATAATAAGGGATAGGTGCATTTTAAAAATGAAAAATTTGGTATGAGCGCCAAAATGATAAAACAAACGTAGGTATTCAAATAATTGTCGCGTGCGTGTAAATAATAATCAAAAAGGTATTTTAATTAAAATTATTCCTATTCTCAATTGAAAAAGTTATTGTTTAACAATAGTGTTTTTTTGGTTCCTTGAAAACTAGGAAACGTTTCGCCGTATCGAACCCATTTCTTGCCGTATAACCATCGATACCATTTTAAAACGAATGCGATTATACAGTTGGTGCCTATAATGATAAGTCGTGTTAAAGTCATAACAGTCACAACATAATATCGTAATATTAATCCAGTAAAAACTTTAATAACCGTGCACTCACACCGCTCACGACACCGGAAAATCAAAAATATTTTTAACTTCACTGGCCGGTGGTGCACCGCCGCCGAACTTGTTAGGTAAGTAATTAATTATCGATATGGTTTTTTTTCCATTATTTTTTGATCGGCGACGGAAGTATTCGTAATAATATATATATACTATTTTGTATTATTTGTATGCGTTATTATAATCATCATCATTACATTATTATTTTATTATTATTATTATTATTATTATTATTTTATTATTGCTATTATTATTATTATTATTATTATTATTATTATTATTATTACGAATATTATTATTTTTATTGTTGTTAATTATTTTTTTTTGTCGTCGCCATCGCGCCCATTGTCGTTTCACTACGATTTCGTCTTGACCCGCGTCAACGTGCCGCCCGTCGCCGCCGACCTGTTCGCCGACGACATGGACCGGCCGATCTGCCGGGACGTGGAACGGTCGTCCTTGATGAGCTTGCCGGTGCGGCTGGTGGTCCGGATGATCACCTCGTCGAGCAGCGACGACTCCTCGCCCGAACTGGCCCGGTTCGGCGTCCGGTGGTTCTTGGTCCGGGCCGCCGACGTGGACCTGATCGGGCCCCCCGCCGCCGATTCTTCCGGGTCGCTCTTGGTCGCCTTGACCGGCCCGTGCCTGGCCGACGACGGCGCCCTGGGAGGCCGGCCCCGCTCGTCGTAGTCCACTGTCCGGCCCTCGCCGTGCCGCGGGGCCCACGGCGCCAGCACGGACACGGACCGCGACAGCGTGCGCTTCTGAGCGCCGCCACCGCCGAAAGCGTCGTTGCGCGACGACAGCTCCTCCCGGCTCGCCGCCCGCCTGCTCTTCGCCCCGAACACGGACTGGTGCAGCTGACGCGATTCCGGTATTTCTCCTACTGCTCGCCGTCACCGCCCGTTCAAAACACACAAGCAGGATAATAATTATGTATAGTTACACGCAGGACACAGACGTCGTTAAGAAGACGTCGTCACATCCGGAAGTCGTGCTTGTCGCCGCCTTACGCGCACGGACGACGTGTACGATTCGCGTTTAGCAGTTCCGAGTCTGTGCTATATATATACGTATAGGTATGATATTTGATGTCAGAATGAACTCGCTTAGACTTGAAGTAGGTAAGAGTATTATCCGTGTACTCGCGTGGGTTTTTTACGATATTTTTATTTTGAAAAGAGTTTTGCGATTTTTTAAATTCCTTTATCTTAAAGTTTCTACGACAGTTCGTTTTACTCTGTTTATTTAAGTAACAACTGTTTGTTTAATCGGAACTGTTGAACGCGAGTCTCGGTATATCGTGCGTTTGTAAGACGGGAAGACCAACACACTCGGATTCGACATACTCGTATGATTATTATGAATTTAGGGCTCGGAAGTTGATGCATTTCGCATTTTTTTTTTTTTTTTTTGGAACTTATTAGACGATGCTCTCTTGGCCACAAATGTGTTTCATAAACATGTGAATCTAAATAACTAATTTTCATTTTGCATTTTTTGGCCCTTTTTACTTGTAAAGTTATTTTTAGTCATTTTGAATTCATATTTTCTTTTTTAAACCATTTTTTGTAATTTTTAGGTCGTATTACCCTTTTTAGTTCAATTTTTTTTGTATTTTTAATTAGATTTTGTCATTTAACATCTTTAAACGCATAGTTTTTGTTTTACTCAAATTGCATATATAAGTATCTACGTCCTACATCAAATTTATATCTTATAAAATAATATTTTATATAAGTTGTATACGGATTAAGTAAAGATAAAGATTCGATAGAATTAGACAATAATTGCTAGCTGTCATTTTTACTTTAGACAATATAAAATATGTTTTGATAGTGTAATGTAATAATCTTTAGTAGTATTTATTATTATTACTATTTTTTATTTAAAAAAATAAATAATGTATTTTTATTAATTTTAAACAAATGTTTATAATTTTTTAGGTCATTTTTTAATATTTTTAATGTCATCAACTTCCGAGCCTTAATTATGACATATTATATATACGTGTTATACACGTATGATAGTAATTATTGTATTCTTATTCGATTGTGGGACCTGTTAAAGATGGTTTCAATATTATTATGGTATTTGAATAAAGGACAGACAACAGTGGCGTATGAGTGGTAGTCTATCTATAGCCCCGTATGATCACAATTGTATAGTTAATATTATGCATTAAAAATATACTATTTTAGATACCGGAATCATACAGACTCGTCGGTTTGGGATACTTGGATACGAGCTGCCTTGAAAGTTTTAACTGCAAATCATTGATGGATCCAAGAAAATTTTACAGGTCTGTTGAGAGTATAATTTTTTGAGAAGAAGACCTTTGAATGAAATCAGTTACCTAAATTCCTAAATTCCTGAATTCCTTAATCCCTCTTCTGCGACTTGGAATCACTATCTTTTGAAGTTATAACTGTGTAACAGTGGATATTATATCGTCGTGTACGCTTTTAATTTAAAAGCTGAAAACGATGAAATCACCTATTTTTTCAGTTAATCTCGTGATCACACGTATATTACACGATTAGTAACTTAACTCCCAACACCTAAATCTATCCAATTATCATATATGTACTATACTGTACACATAGCAATTCAAAAAATAAAAACTAATTCAGCATAATCGACATAAATTACGAGGTTGCTAATTTCAGTGAACGTACCCGTGGTGGCGTGAAGATAGACTGTGGACTTGTGCGATTTTTGACTACTGTCGCCCTCGGTCGTGCTGCCCGCCGAACTATCAATCAGCGAATGTCTCTTGTCGGATATCAGCCTAGGCGAATGGTCCATATCCAGTGAGTTTAGATTTCCCACACTGTGATACGACCGGGTCGTCCCCCTTGAGTTATTCCGATCATTCACCCTGTGCACTCGGATCTCGTCGTCGTTTTCGCTTCCCGATGTGAACGTCTTCGATCTCTATATTACAATGTACACACGAATAAAATAAATAATTATGATAAGTCACTTATACAAGGTAAATATCGCGCCGTTCTTATGTTTGTGTGTGATTTCGGAAAAGCGCACCTTGTTTTTTTTGCCGAATCTATCCAACGACTTGAACCACGCGTTGTTTCCGGTCGGTTTCGAGGTTTTGCTCGGAGACGACGTCCTCCTGTTTCCAGACACATGATTCCCCTGTTTGTTCTGCTGACAACAAATAAAAAATAATAATTATCATTATATTAGTATTAAAACGCGATTATCTGCACAGTCTTTCAAATTATGTTGTGTGGCGTGTTTGTGTATACGTATCTTGATAGTTATTATGTTCGATCATAGGTAGCTACAAGATTATCGACTGTTAAGTATTAGTACTGGGTAAAATATAGGCGATTCTAGTCAATCTAGTCTAAAAAAATATGTGGAAAAAAATGGAAGGTATCTTTCTTTTTTAAAGAAATATTGTATATTATTACTTCTGGAGAAATCTGCTCTCGCCCTTCGAGTGCGTGCGTTAACATTCAAATGAAT